CTCCCAAAGTGCTGGGAGTACAGGCCTGAGCCACTGCATCCAGTCAAAAATAGTTTTTAAATGTACCTTGTCTTAGTCAGTTCTGGAGGCTATAACAAATTGTCATAGATTGAGTTGCTTAAACAACATCCTATTTTGTTTTGTTTTGTTTTTTAATATTTCTGGAAGCTGGAAGCCCAAGATCAGGATGCCAGCATGGCTGTGTTTTTGGTGAAGTCCTCTTCCTGGTTTACAGATGGCCACCTTCTTGCTCTATCCTCACATAGCAGAGACAGAGAGAGAGATTCATATTTCTCATGTCTCTTCTTATAAGGGTACTAATCCTATTCATGAGGGCTCCACCCACATGACCTAATTACCTCCCAAGGCCCCACCTCCAAACACCACCAGACAGCATGTGTAGATATCATTTTGATAGGGACAGGAGGCAGGGGAATTCTGGGCAGAAGAAGGTGGTCCCCAGATAGGGCTCCACCCTCAATCCTGAAACTGTGGCCCAAAGTGAGAATATGCATTCCCATTTTCCCATTCGTATGTTGCCTTTTCCAAAACCACCTATAGCCCGCTCTTCTCCCCTACTCTGGGCCCATAAAAACTCCAGGTTCTGCTAGCAGAGAAGAGGAGAGGCAGCTGGAAGTCAGAGACTATGGTTGGACATCAGAGAGAAGCAACTTAACTTCAGAGGAACAGCTTGATAGCATTGCTTTGGAGAGGAGTCAGCCAGAGATGGCCAAACTCCAGGGGAAGATTATCTTTCCACTCCATTCCCTTTCCAGCTCCCCTTCCCACTGAGAGCCACTTTCATTGGCAATAAAATCCTCTGTATTCACCACCCTTCGATTTGTTCATGTGACCTGATTTTTCCTAGATGCTGAACAAGAGCTTGGATGCTACAGGTGCAGATGCTAACGGCTGTCACACTGACCCTCTGTCCTCGCTGGTAGAGAGCAAATGCTTCATGTGAAAAGGCAGAGGGCACACTGAGCTGTTAAAACTTAAGCCATCTTTGGGCAGGAAAAGCTAAAAGAGGGTTGACTATAACATGTTCCTTCTGGGGTTTCAAGGGTTGCGGGTACTCCCCATAGATGCTGCCATGGGGTCGGGATGGCATGGAGTTTTCCTCCTGCCAGTGCCCAGAAGTACTCGCCCAAGCTCCTGTACCTGCTCACCTGCATGCGCCCTCCCTCAAAGGGTTGAGCACAATGAGTTCAAGTGAGTGAAGTTTGCCTCTGACAGCACTGAAGCAGCCAGCTAGCTCCAGCACCCATACTCCAGTTTCCGCCCAAGAAGGGATCAGAGAAACTATCCTACTTCAATTTTATCAGAAAAAATATTTTAAATATTTTTCATAATTCTCTTCATAAACATTTGAAATATGTAATTATCCTTGTCTTTTGCCCTTCTTTTATTTACTCTAACAAAGCCTCAATCTCTTTGACCTCCCCAAAAAAGACTAATGTCCCATCCTTTTAATCACGTGTTATTTTCTAAAACCTTTTTTCCCATTAATTTATTCTTTGTTTGCTAAGCACTTACTGCACAGCAGACACTGTGCTAAGCACTGGGGATACAACAGAGCAGGGTGGGGGAAATATCTGTCTTCATCTTTTAAAACATGTAACCTAAAAATCAAGTTCTGTTGTATTAAAAGCTCAACTCAGGTTTAACTGAAGGACATGTTCTTTCTTTGTTCTTATATATTATAACCCTCCACTTTTTTTATTTTTATTTTTTGAGACAGTCTCACTCTGTTGCTTAGGCTAGATTACAGTGGCATGATCTTGGCTCACTGCAGCCTCCACCACCTGGGCTCAAGCTATTCTCCTGCCTCAATGTTCTGAGTAGCTGGGATTACAGGCACCTGCCACCATGCCTGGCTAATTTTTGTATTTTCAGTAGAGACAGGGTTTTACCATGTTGTCTAGGTTGGTCTTGAACTCCTGACCTCAAGTGATCTGCCCACCTTGGCATCTAAAATGCTGGGATTACAGATGTGAGCCACCATACCCAGCCTTTTATGTATTATATACTTGATATTAAATGTTAATATTATAATATGCTTCCTCTTAAATATTAAAATTATCTCTTTGAACACTCAGTTTCAAAGGTCTTATAAATTTTATTTATACTACATTGGTCATATTCCCTTCATGCCTAGCTTTTTCTTATTTGAGCAAATTCTCAATTTCATCATTTAAATACTGATTCCAAACTAGACAATTATCATAATTGCCTGAGTGGCTTTAAAGAAAAAAGTCCCAAACCCCAGACATACTGTCTTTTTATCAGGGTTTCTGTTGGTCAGTCATATTTAAGAATTAAGCTCAACCATTTAAGCTGATTAAATGGTAACTTACATAATTTGTTTAAATGAAAATATGTAAAACTAAAAATGTGTTTGGCTTATCTTCAAAATATGTATTTGAATCTTCCTATAAGTTACCTACAAAACATGTACCAAATTTTAGTTTTCAAAAATGAATGTTTCTTTGTTATAGGGCATATATTACCTTTGCTAAAAGATGCAAGTTAATTTCCAAATGAATCTCAAGAATCCTAAGAATCATAAGTGCCTTTTTAACATGATGAATAAAAGAGCCACCTGTGTATTCCACTTGCTCTCTGAACCATATCTAACAAAAAAACTTTCTAAAAACCACAGACAGTTAGGGACAGTCAGGTGTGTCAAGCATTATGACCCAGTATGAAAATACTGGGTGTTTTTGTGTGGTTGGTTTTTTGCTCCATATGTCAACTATAATATAACAAAGATGTTGACAATATAACACTCCAATATAACAAAGATGGGTAAGTGGGTAAAATTAGTGTAACAGAAGCTCTGAACATCGGTGCCTTCTGATTTAACCTAGTAAGGTTAAATCTTCTTCCTTTCTGTATATAAAATAATAGTTTACATTTATTTAGTGCTTACTAAGTGCCAACTACCATTTTAAACATCTCATTAATCATCACAACCCAAATAGCCAAGTACAATTAGCCTAATTTACCGATAAGGATACACAGAGAGATTAAGCAACTTTCCCAGTTCCTCAGCTAGTAAGTTTTGGAACGGGATTTGTACCTAGGCAGTCTGACCCCAGAGCCTGCATTCTTAGCATGTGTTTACATTTATAGAATTAATTTCTTGAAAAACAGATTCAAATATATCTATCCGAATAGATACATCTATCTATAGAGATACATATACAAACATATACAGATACAGAACAAGAGAGTGCTGTACAGGTATTATCCATCATATTCAAAGATGAAGACAAGAACTATTTGTTCAGTTAGACTACAGGGCAATCATTTTCATGACCACTGTCCTTATCAACCAGCAAATATTTTCTAGTTTGCTGTGTTCAGTAAATGACTTCCTAGGTGGAATTAACAAAAGCATTCTACAGCTGATCTACTAGTGGCAAATCTGTCACATTTGATGTAGCTGAGGGCACAGCCAAATTGGGAGCAGCACTGTGAATTCCACCGCCTAGAAGATCAAACTCTTCATGTGGCAGCTACTTTTCTACAATCAGGTAAGTCTCTCAATTGAAAGCAGGGTTACTACAGCTTTCACTCATTTTTTGACTACAGCTGCAATTTTACTTATTCTGCTGACCTTATAAGACCAGTCAGACTAGCCTTACTTGGCCATAAACTAAAAGTGTGTTTAAAAATAGAAAATGCTCTAAAATAGGGCCAGATGCGGTGGCTCACGCCTATAATCCCAGCACTTTGGAAGGCTGAAGTGGGCGGATCACGAGGCCAGAAGATCGTGACCATTATGGCCAACATGGTGAAACCGTGTCTCTACTACAAATACAAAAAATTAGCCAGGCATGGTGGCACACACCCATAGTCCCAGCTATTTGGAAGGCAAGGCGGGAGAATCCCTTGAACCCATGAGGTGGAGGTTGCAGTGAGCTGAAATTGTGCCACTGCCCTCCAGCCTGGGTGACAGAACGATATTCCGTTTCAAAAGAAAATAAAAGGTTCTAAAATATATTGGAAATAAAAATCTGGCAGAATTAGATGCCACTGTTGCAGCAGAAAACTTGTTTCTAGACAGTAATCTAAACTAAAACATTGAGAACATTGTATTTAGTCTCAGTAATTCCAAAACTTAACTTCTACGACTGATCTTCTGCAATTTATAAAGTTTTTCAATATCCTGTAAAACAAGAAGGGAACACTACACTATTGGACATAAATGCTCATGAAGGCAATGCCACATACCTCTTCTGCTGTCCAGAAGGAAGCCTGTGCCTGTTTATACATTTTCCAAATATCGGGGTACTGGATTGGGAAGATGACAAACCGGCGAGAACTCTTTCTTAGAAGTGGCTCTTCATTTGACTTTATTTCATTTTCGTTGGTATCTGCAGATGATCTCTTTGAAAAATAAAGCACAAACAGCCTTTTTATATAGACATTTCCTCTTTATTCATACCTAAACATTCATCTAGGGAAGTCAGGGAGACAGTATTGGTTTGAGGGCCTGCCTGCCTGGGTTGAATCCTTACCGTTGCCCGGTAGCTGATACTGTTAGAAGTGTGGGTGAGACCACAGGAAGCTGCTGAACTTCTTTGACCCTCAGTTTCCTCAGCTGTAAAATAATTCCTGCCTCGTAGGTTTATTCCAATGATTAAAAGTGCTTTAAAGAAAGCCTGGTATATAATAAGCACTCAAAAATTTATTGTAATTATTGCTAGTTGGAGGATAATTACAAAGCTAGACCCATAAATGTCACCATGGGCAAATTTCTAAGTTTGTAAACAAAATGTCCCTTATAGCCTCTCTGATATAGAATGCTGGAATGAATAAGCTACTGGTATAAACTACTTTATGACTTTCTTTCTACTTTTCACTGAAATACTATAATACTTATCTGAAAACCCATTACCTACAACTTAATCTTTGTTCATTTTAACCTTCCAGTATTCCAATTTGTTACTGTTATCTACATTTTAACATTACTGCAGATGATCTCACTGCGGGCTGTCTCAAAGCTTTGTGAGTAAAGTGAGAAACACAGACCTATATTCATACTGCTTCAAAACATGAGGACATTCGGAGAGTAAATGGTGCCACATATATATTTTTTAAATAGTAGGAACATCAGAAGAGTTGTACATGCATGAGAATGAGTATAAACAAAATCCATACAAATAAGCTAAACACGTATGAATCAGGATTAGAACACATATAAATTCTAGACTCCTAACCCAAACGGTCTCCCTCTACTGTGACAGGCCAGTTATGTTCCTTACTCCTGCCTCCACCCACTGTCACCTCTCCAAAGCAAGCATTATAGCGGAGGAGGCTAAGGCTTATCAAGAAGAAAGCCCAAGATATAAGCATAAGGCTATGCAAATACAGGGGGGCTTGCATGCTTTATACCTACTGCCATCACATACGGATTGTCTTGATTTTAACTACCTGTTTAAAGGTGTGGGCCTCCTCAGATACAGCACTTGAGCCCTGGAGAAGAGGAACCAATTTTCATTTGTTGTGATGTTCCCAGAGCTTAGTACTGTATCAAGCCTGTTAGCTAAGTAAAGGGGCCGCTAATTTCTCTTCTTCTTGTGCTCAGATTTCTAGGTACCTTTAGAAAATTTTAATTTAACAGAAGACCACAATGTATCAGTGAGACAACCTAATAACCACTCAAATCAATCACGTTTCTCCCTCTTCACATCATCCCAAAGGCCTGCTTTAGGTTCTAGATATAAATACATAGTTCACTGCAATTTAATTCCCTGTTAATTGTCTACAGTTTCCCATGCTTCTTGAAAGTAAAAACCATTTTCACCCTTGTAGAATCCCTTGTGCCTAGCACAGTACCTGGCATGCAGTTGGTACTCACTGCACAAATACCTGAGCAATTTTTTTTTAAGACTGGGTTTTGCTCTGTCACCCAGGTTAGCGTGCAGTAGTGTGATCATAGATCACTGCAGTCTCAAACTCCTGTGCACAAGCGATCCACCTGTCTCAGCTGCCCAAGTAGCAAGCACTACGTGTGCACATCACCACTCCTGGCTAATTTTTAAATTTTTTGTAGAGATGGGGGTCATGCTGTGTTGCCCAGGCTGGTCTCAAACTTCTGGCCTTTGCTATTTTTGTTACTGAAATTTGGGATAATAATGAAAGTATGAAGGTTGGAACTTCAAAATTTTTGTTATTCAAAGTTAAGAAGGACACCACAAGTAGTCACTCTTTAGCACCAAAAGCCCTGCCAATGAATGAACTTTTAAATGATAATAAATAATTGATCTGCTGAAGACTAGTACCTTTAAGTTAGAATGGAAGTCACATTTGTATATACCTTCTCCTTTTCTATTCTGATTACCTGTAGACTGCTAAGAGGAGAAGCTGGATTAGGAGTGTATTACAAAGGATTTTACAATGTGAAGAGAAGGAGGTTAACCAATATCAACCTTTGAGCTGGGCTAGAGATGACATATTATTTCATAGTGCTTAGGTACGTGCATAAACATGCATTTAAATACAATTTCAGAAAGTTCATGCATCTTGAAACTCTAGGCTCTCCAGGGTACCCTCTGTGGACCTGATCTAAGAGCCCATATTTTAAAAGAAAAAAACAACATGAAAAAAGATATGATGGCGGCCAGGTGTGGTGGCTCACTCCTGTAATCCCAGCACTTTAGGAGGCTGAGGCAGGCCGATCACCTGAGATCAGGAGTTCGAGACCAGCCTAGCCAACACAGCGAAAACCCGTCTCTTCTAAAAATACAAAAATTAGCTGGGCATGGTGGTGGGTGCCTGTAATCCCAGCTACTTGGGAGGCTGAGGCAGGAGAACTGCTTGAACCCAGGAGGTGAAGGTTGCAGTGAGCCAAGATGGCACCATTGCACTTCAGCCTGGGCAACAAGAGCAAAACTCTGTTTAAAAAAAAAAAAAAAGACCGGGAGCAGTGGCTCAAGCCTGTAATCCCAGCACTTTGGGAGGCCTAGGTGGGTGGATCACAAGGTCAAGAGATTGAGACCATCCTGGTCAACATGGTGAAACCCCATCTCTACTAAAAATACAAAAAAATAGCTGGGCATGGTGGCGCGTGCCTGTAATCCCAGCTACTCAGGAGGCTGAGGCAGGAGAACTGGCTGAACCCAGCAGATGGAGGTTGCGGCGAGCTGAGATGGCGCCATTGCACTCCAGCCTGGGTAACAAGAGCGAAACTCCATCTCAAAAAAAAAAAAAAAAAAGAAAAAACAAAAGATATGATGGTATGTGACATTTTTAAAGAACTAGAAGTAATTTTCTAAGCCTGGACTTCATGGTATGTGGTGGGCAATGGAAGGAGATGAAACCTAAAAGGCAGCAGAGAACAGTTCCCAGTGGTTTTTCCAAATGTGTTCTGAAGAACTCTGTGATCTCCCTAATGTCATGATCACCAGGAGAAAATTTCACTTTTAAATGTTTTCATCCTTTTAAAACAGTAATAAAAATAACTGAAACAGATGTTTTCTACTGTACAGAAAGGAAATCAGCAAATCACCAACACATAAACTTGTGTTTCCAGGTTCTCTTTCTTTTTTTTTTTTTTAGATGACCTCAGATGAAAGTTTCTCTGGGTACCTCCGCTTAACTGAAGAATACCATGAGAGTGAAAAATAGGCAGTTTAAAAAAACAAATAAAAAACTTGTAACCAGTTGTATGGATTTTTCAGAATTGAACCAAGCTTTTCATTTTTTTTCCCCAAAACCAAACCAAATTGAAAAAACAATTTTATAGTGGCAATAATACAGCAGAGACCTTATTATTCAAAGTGATCCAACAGGTAGTTGAAAATTGGCTAACGGTAGGAATCATAAGAAAACAATGTGACTTAAACACGTAATTTTTTTTTGAGTCTTGTTCTGTCACCCAGGCTAAAGTGCAGTGGCATCATCTCAGCTCACCGCAACCTCTGCCTCCTGGGTTCAAGTAATTCTTCTGCCTCAGCCTCCCAAGTAGCTGGGATTACAGGAGAGTGCCACCACACCCAGTTAACTTTTGTATTTTTCGTAGAGATGGGGTTTCACCATGTTGGCCAGGCTGGTCTCAAACCCCTAACCTCAGAATGATTTGCCAACCTCAGCCTCCCAAAGTGCTAAGATTATGGGCATGAGCCACCGTGCCCAGCCTAAACACATACATTTATATTTATTTTTACTAATCTTCTGCCATAAGGTCAGAGCTTTTTGTTTTTTTAAGACTTGGCTGATTGAAGCCCCAGGTGTTTTGAATATTCCACACCATAATGTATCACCTACACTTTCTAGTTTCAATATTTTTCTTTTATTTTAAGAGACAGGGTTTTGCTCTTTTGCCCAGACTGGAGTGCAGTGGTGTGATCATAGCTCACTGCAGCTTCAAACTTCCTGCCTCAGCCTCAGAGTAGCTGGAACTACTGACACATAACACTGTACCTAGTTAACTTTTTTTTTTTTAATTTTTGTATAGACAGGGTTTCACTATGTTGCATAGGCTGGTCTCGAACCCCTGGCCTCACGCGATCCTCCTGCAGCAGCCTCCTGAATCACTGGGATTACAATCATGAGCCACTTCGCCCAGCCTCTAGTGGAAACAGATATACATCAATGCCGCTGAATGCAGTGGCTGGCCAGGTGTGGTGGCTCATATCTGTAATCCCAGCACTTTGGAAGGCTGAGGTAGGCGGGGATCACGAGGTCAGGAGTCTGAGACCAGCCTGGCCAACATGGTGAAACCCCATCTCTACTAAAAATATAAAAAGTTAGCTTGGGGTGGTGGCACATGCTTGTAATTCCAGCTACTTGGGAGGCTGAGGTAGGAGGATTGCTTGAACCCAGGAGGCAGAGGTTGCAATGAACCAAGATCACCGCACTTCAGCCTGGGCAACACAGCAAGACTCCATCTCAAAAAAACAAAATAAAACAAAAATAAATATATGGGTATATGAGAGAGCAGCCTACTAGCTATAGAAATTCTAAAGCTCATGGGTATCTATATATTTTACAGGGTTAATTAAGGAGAAAAATTGTTTAGTAGTAATCTGATTTTTTTTTTTTTTAATTTTGGAGGTCAAAGTGGTCTTTGATATAAAACACCCTGGCATCTAACACCTCTAATATGTATGCTATTGGGAGCCACTGAAAGTTTTTAATCAGGCAAATAACATAATCAGATCTGTGTTTTAAGATCACTTTTGTAGAAACATGGCTAGATTAGAACAGAAATTGGAGGCAGACAGAACAATGAAAAGATTATTGTACTACCCATCTCTTGCCTGAACTAGAAACACACAAAAAACTGATTTAAGACATATTCAGAAGTAGAATGAATTATTCTTGCTAAAAATTTGGATTTGGGACAAGGGGACAAAGAAGAGTTGACCTTGATGCTAGCTCCAGTAACTTGAGTGATAACAAGAACTAAAAGGCACACAGAAAGTGCTCAGTACCTGGAGAATAAATGAATAAATCAGATAAAAAAAATCTTGCTTCTCACATTAGATGTTTAAAGAAGTTTACTTTAACTCCTCCCACCAACCCAAGTGACAAAAAAGTTACACAGTATCCTTACAAACTCGACTAGGTCACTAAAAAAGATAATGAATTCAGTAATGTCCAGTGAGCAGTTAAAAATATAACACTGGGCCAGGCGCGGTGGCTCATGCCTGAAATCCCAGCACTTTGGGAGGCCGAGGCGGGTGGACCACGAGGTCAAGAGATTGAGACCATCCTGGTCAACATGATGAAACCCCGTCTCTACTAAAAATACAAAAAATTAGCTGGGTGTGGTGGCACGAGCCTATAGTCCCAGCTACTCAGGAGGCTGAGGCAGGAGAATTGCTTGAACCCAGGAGGCAGAGGTTGAGGTGAGCTGAGATCGTGCCATTGCACTCCAGCCTGGGTAACAAGACCGAAACTCTGTGTAAAAAAAAAAAAAAAAAAATATATATATATATATATATATAAAACACTATAGCACAGGGGTGATGGAGCTCCCATTAGTGTTTGCCAAGGGAATGGATGTGATTATTCAGGGAGAACATATAGAGCAGCAAGACAACTGAGGATCCAGCCTTAGAGAATGCCAGTATTTAAAGGGCAGATGAAAGAAGAAGAGCCAGCTGAGATTAAAATCAACTGAAATGGATTCAGGACAAGGAAAAGCAAAAGTAGGAATAAAGTGATTTGGCTAAAGCAAAGGATCCAGACTCGTAAGATAAAGCAGACTAAGAAGTCAGGAATTAATTTTGTGGCCAAAGATTTTCAAACACTGGAGGTCTGGAAGGCTCATACTCCAATTCTCCCCATTTGCCCCCAACCCCAGGTGCTGGCATTCATTGCAGGGTACAGTTTGAAAATCTGTACCCCACAAATTTGGGGGTACAGATAGTCATGGAGAGTTTCTGAATGGGAATTAACATGAATAGTGGTGGCATTAGGAAGACTCATCAGAAACCCATGTATAGGATTAATTGGATAAAAACCTAGATTTTCCTAGCAACTAAGGAACCAATTTCAAAGATGGAAATGAGAATCTGAATTAAGATGTGGCAGTCAGCATGAAAAAAAGCAGCTTCAACAAGACTTTACCAGCCTGAGGTGTTGGCCAGGCTTTTTTGTAGGAATTGAGACCCTTTTGAAAGTTTTTCTGGGGGCGCAGGGTCAGTGACAGGGAGACACTGGTCTCATGAAGGATTAACTTGGCAATAGTAGTTAGGATTAAATGTCAGGTAAGATAGGAGATAGAGAAACAACCAAAGTATTGCAGGTGCACAGGTGTAAAGTGATGAGAACTTGAAATAAAGTTTAGCAATAGGCATTTCTACTGTATTTTCCAGAATGGTACTTCTAGTTTCTGACTGACTTGATTTCTGGTCACCTAGTTGGAAGACATGCCTGGGCATGTCAGGAAAATTTAGGTCAAGATTCCCCAGCAAGCACTTACAATGTCCGAATCTAAACTGGCATCATACATGGCTCTTACCTCTCATTCAGCCCCAATTCCACCACGTCTGTTCCTTTGCCTTTATGTCTCTTCTACGTCTGTAAAATATCTGCATGTTGTCATAGTCATACACTATTTCTAAGTATCATTTTCATTCTTCCATTCTCACAAAATCTGAGAAAACAAAGGGGATGACGGCCCAGATGCAAGAACTTGGTTTTAAATTCAGCTCCTCTACGGAATCCTGGGCATGCCATTTAATGTTTTTTGGCCTAAACTTTATCTTGAAAATAGACTACGAATTAGATTAGCAATAGTTAACTGAGAAACTGACAAAAATTATGGTGTCTTTTCTCAGAAGATTCACATCTGCACTTATAAAATCTACACACCACTTCAGGAGATTTATAAAGCCACTTCTAGCCTATCCATGGACACTTTAAGACAGTAGGGTTTTGTTTTTTTTAATATGTATACCAAGATCATCTGAAGTACTTGTTAAAAATGCAGATCTCAAGAGATTTCGATTCACTATGTTAGGGGTGTGGGTCCAGCAATTTACATTTTTTACAAAATATTCCAAGTGACTCTGATGCAGGCCTCCTATTATGCACTCTGGCATCTAGAAAAACAAAGTGCTTAAGGCATCCTAGCATCTCAAGTTAAAAACTTTTGGATCAGCTGCTCACTAAAATTCATTCTGAATCTAAAATTCTGTCTGTCTGGGTCTGTATCACTGAGATAAGAGTAATAAGTAACACTTAACTTCTAGGTGTTAAGGCTGAATCACTGCTGGTGCCATTAGCACAAACAGCAGTCTCAATTTTCCCCTTTGAGTGGGCAAGTGGATAATAAATGCATTTATTTCCAAACAGGAAGAAAAAGCTTGAGGGATATTTACAGTTTAGTTACTAAATGCTTACAAAAATCAAGTCAAATAAAATAAGATCCCAAACCTGGAATCTACAACTTTCTAAAGAAATGTAGGGCCAAGCATGACTCTCTTGGGGTGGAAACGTTTGTTTCCTCCACATCTTCACAATATTAAATCAAAGATACCACACGCAGAAACCGGTTTCGGTAGTATAAAAAGCACTTCCCTTGTCCACAAACGCCTTAGAAGTATTTCCAAAATGACAGAATTTGAAAATTATACAGCAACAGTTTAAAGTACCATGCAACCGTACAGTCTAACAAATCCTGGTTTATTTCCTTTAGGTACCTTTATCAGCGTAAGATCCGTGGAGAGGGCGAACAACTTGGGCTTACTAAGCACCTACGACTTTCGGGGCACTTTGCATAAAGCATGTTATTTAATCCTCTGTGAAGTATCACTTCCACTATGTAAAGGAAGAAAGTGACACCTAAAGATTCAGTTAGTTAAGGAGCCGGGCCTAAGCAAAACTGGCCTCCTACCCCGATTTTTTCACTGGGAGGAGGGAGGTCATGAGGATTCCGTGTCCCCTTCTGCTCGTCACCTTCACCCCAACCACCTGTGTCAGTGTCCACACGCGCTCTCCAACTCCTTGTCACCGTCTCAAAACCTGTGTCAGTGTCCACACGCGCTCTCCAACTCCTTGTCACCGTCTCAAAACCTGTGTCAATGTCCACACGCGCTCTCCAACTCCTTGTCACCGTCTCAAAACCTGTGTCAGTGTCCACACGTGCTCTCCAACTCCTTGTCACCATCTCAAAACCTGTGTCAGTGTCTACACGCGCTCTCCAACTCCTTGTCACCATCTCAAAACCTGTGTCAATGTCTACACGCGCTCTCCAACTCCTTGTCACCATCTCAAAACCTGTGTCAATGTCCACACGCGCTCTCCAACTCCTTGTCACCGTCTCAAAACCTGTGTCAGTGTCCACACGCGCTCTCCAACTCCTTGTCACCGTCTCAAAACCTGTGTCAATGTCCACACGCGCTCTCCAACTCCTTGTCACCGTCTCAAAACCTGTCAATGTCCACACGCGCTCTCCAACTCCTTGTCACCGTCTCAAAACCTGTGTCAGTGTCCACACGCGCTCTCCAACTCCTTGTCACCGTCTCAAAACCTGTGTCAATGTCCACACGCGCTCTCCAACTCCTTGTCACCGTCTCAAAACCTGTCAATGTCCACACGCGCTCTCCAACTCCTTGTCACCGTCTCAAAACCTGTGTCAGTGTCCACACGCGCTCTCCAACTCCTTGTCACCGTCTCAAAACCTGTGTCAATGTCCACACGCGCTCTCCAACTCCTTGTCACCGTCTCAAAACCTGTGTCAATGTCCACACGCGCTCTCCAACTCCTTGTCACCATCTCAAAACCTGTCAATGTCCACACGTGCTCTCCAACTCCTTGTCACCATCTCAAAACCTGTGTCAATGTCCACACGTGCTCTCCAACTCCTTGTCACCGTCTCAAAACCTGTGTCAATGTCCACACGCGCTCTCCAACTCCTTGTCACCATCAGACTGTGTGCGTGTCTGCAGCACGGCCGCCGGTCGTCTTTCCTTGCCTCAGTTTCCCTGGCCAGGGCTCCAAGTCAGGGAAGGAGGGTGGGAGAGCGTGAAGCGGATAAACGCAGGGGCAAGCCTCACCCCGGCCGGAGGCCTCCGAGCGTCGCCCTTGGCTGGCTCTGGGGCAGAGCAGCGGAGCGGGACGCAAACCCGAAGTGGGCTCCCTCCTCCGCCCTCCGCGGGCACAGCCTCCCCGGCGCTCGCAACGACGAAGCCAAGCTGCGGCGAGGGCTGGCGGAGAGGCCTGTTCTGACCGCGGCGAATAACACGACCCACAGCGGTCTGCAACTTGCAATCTAACGGGCGGGCGTGACTGCGGGGCGGGGGATGAAGCGACAACGACATTTGGCGGGGGATGAAGCGACAACGACGTTTACCTCATCCTGATCCAGCCTGGCCGCTTCTGGTCTTTCCGGGTCGCCCATTGCGCAGACTCCGCCGAAGCTACAGGCGCTGAGGGAACTGAGCTCCGCAGGCCACCTCCACCTACGACAGGACCCAAGTGGCCCGCTTGTCCGCTGCGTCCGCCCAGCCCCCAGCTCTAGGGACCCGGTCAGCCCCGCCCCGGCCCTGCTTTCTCGCCTGCCCATTGAGGGACTCTCCCTGCGCCAACCCGGCCCCGCCTCCCCCGCCTCGGGACTCCGCCTACCTCAGTCAGCCCCGCCTCCCCGTCTGTGGCCAAAGGGATTCTCCCCGCCTCGGCCGGCCCCGCCTTCCCTGCCTTGGGGCTCCGCCTACCTCTGCCAGCCCCGCCTCCCCGCCAGTGGCCTAAGGGATCCTCTCCGCCTCGGCTGGCCCTACCTCCCCGCCTGCGACCTAAGGGATTCTCCCGGCTTTGGACGGCCCCGGCTCCCTCGCCTCGGAGCTCCGCCTACCTCAGCCAGCCCTGCCTCCCCTCCTGTGGCCAAAGGGACTCTCCCCGCCTCGGCGGCCCCGCTTCCCCCGCCTCGAAGTTCCGCCCACCTCGGCCAGTCCCGTCTCCCCTGCCTCGGGCTCCGCCTACCTCTGCCCGCCCCGCTTACCCCGCCTGCGGCCTGAGGAAATCTCACTGCCTCGGCCGGTGCCGCCTTACTGTACTGCACTGCCCAATCAGTCGTCCGCTTTTCCACTGAGGGCCGCCCACTGCTCTGGACGGCCCCGCCTACTCCAGCTAGCCCCACTTCCACCTCATCGGCCCCGCCTCCCGCTTACCCACTGAGGGATTCCTCAGGCGCCTCCAGGCCCCGCCTCCTCCGCTCGTCCTCTCGAAGCGCCCACCCCTGAGGCGCTCGTCCTGGGGCCAGCTCGGCATCGCCTTCCCGCCGGCGCTGTGAGGGAGTAGGCCCGCGGCCCACCCCGCCTCGGCCTCCCCGGGCTCAAGCCCCTTGGTGCGGGAGGTGTCCTGCAGGCCGGCTGGGAATTCCCAGCTCGCCCTCGTGGTGCCTCAAGAACACTGTACTTTGCGTTAGCCCGGCCTGTCCTGAGAGACTGCGGGAGGCGAAGGGAACGCGCTGTGGCTGCGGGAAGCGCCGGGACGGGGCAGTCAGGCCGGAGGGCGCTTCGCGAGGGAAAGGGCTGCGTGGTGCGTGCGTAAGCAACAGAAAAGGGCAAGCGGTGGGGAGTGAAGTGTATGCGTGCGTGAGTGCGGGCGAGGCGGGGGGCACGTTACTAACGTCAGGAACATATTTTGAAACCTCTGTGCAGTTGTTTCAACAAACTAGGTTTTAGTGATACTGGTTGATCCTGATCTTCCTGCGGGCCCCGCACTGCGGAAGGTGAGGGAATTCGCCTTGTGGGAATCAACTAATTGAATCCCCGGGTAGATCCAGCGGCTGTCCTCGCAGCGCGGGTGAGGAACCGAGGCAGGCCGTTCAGGTTACCCCGCCCCGAAGTCGTAGCCCCCAGGGTCTCCGGCCATGACCGTCCTCTGCGTCACGTCCTGGCAGCCGACAGTGACACTGCTGGTGGCAATACTTGGATTCAGTTAGTAATGCCCTTCCCGCAGGGGCACTAGCTACAGAAAACTACCGCAGAAAGAAAGAGAAAATAGTCAGGATGGCCGGGCGCGGTGGCTCACGCCTGTAATCCCAGCACTTTGGGAGGCCGAGGCGGGTGGATCACGAGGTCGAGAGATCGAGACCATCCTGGTCAACATGGTGAAACCCAGTCTCTACCAAAAATACAAAAAATTAGCTGGGCACGGTGGCGTGTGCCTGTAATCCCAACACTTTGGGAGGCCGAGGCGGGTGGATCACGAGGTCGGCAGATCGAGACCAACCTGGTCAACATGGTGAAACCCCGTCTCTACTTAAAAAAATTACAAAAAATTAGCTGGGCACAATGGCGCGTGCCTGTAATCCCAGCTACTCAGGAGGCTGAGGCAGGAGAATTGCCTGAACCCAGGAGGCGGAGGTTGTGCTGAGCCGAGATCGCGCCATTGCACTCCAGCCTGGGTAACAAGAGCGAAACTCCAACTCAAAAAAAGAGCCGGGCGCAGTGGCTCGTAATCCCAGCACTTTGGGAGGCCGAGGTGGGTGGATCACGAGGTCGAGAGATCGAGACCATCCTGGTCAACATGGTGAAACCCCGTCTCTACTAAAAATACAAAAAATTAGCTGGGCATGGTGGCGCGTGCCTGTAATCCCAGCTACTCAGGAGGCTGAGGCAGGAGAATTGCCTGAACCCAGGAGGCGGAGGTTACCGTGAGCCGAGATTGCGCCACTGCACACCAGCCTGGGTAACAGGAGCAAAACTCTGTCTCAAAAAAAAAAAAAAAAGTAAAGTGGAAGAGATTTGTTGAAGTAGCTTGAAGCTGAGAGATTGACTGGACCTTGTTATGACCCAAACAGCGGGCACCTGTTTTGTGGCTGGCTGAAGGATGGTAAATGGGATCAAGGTCTCACTTTAAGCGTTGAAGATGCTGAAAGCTCTTTCTCAAACCTGCCAATAGAGTGGGGGCAGAGAGTCTTTGCTTTAAGAAAGACTCTCTAGGGGTCAAATGCTGAGTGAATTTTTTTTCATCTGTGAACTTTAATAGCCACATAAATTCTGCGAGGCCATTGAGTCTCGATTTACTATAGGCCACGTGGCAAATCATTCATTTAAAGTCATCAAACAATAATTGTGTTTCGGGCATCATGTTCCCTCACTTATTAGCTATGCTACCTTGGGCTGCTTCTCTGAGGCTCAGCTTTCTCATCTACAGGATAAGAACAATAATCCCTTCCTCATAAGGTCGTGCGAATTTGATAATACATTACTTGTGAAACACTTATTGGGGTGAGAAGTCACCTTGAGGCGATGGTAGCTTCCAAGCACATTACGAGGCAGGCCATCCTAGAGGGTCATGGAACTCAGATGGCTGAGTTCAAGAGGCTCAGATCAAATTGAGATGTCTAGAGTCACAGTTTACTAAATCAATTTATTTTCATTTTAAATACGTTTATTTAAACAAGACATTAGACTTGAAAACTAGGATTTTTTTAAGAATAATGTATCAAGGCTGAAAGATTGCCTTACATGTAACAGCTATGTACAAAAGAGTTACAAAATTGCCCTTGGGTAGAATAAAGTTGCAGACTCCTTTTTTAGTCAAGAGGTCCTGTCCTTGGAACACATGGTATCTTTAGCCTCCAGCTCCAACTTTACAGGTGTGTATATCTCATTGATTGGCTGCCCATTAAATCTAGAAGCTCATCAGCCTCATTGCCAAACCCTGTTCACAATAAGCTTTTGTTAATTTACTAAGTGGCATATGTCTTTTTTTCTTTGAGACGGAGTCTCATTCTGTTGCTCAGGCTGGAGTGCAGTGGCTGGATTTTGGCTCACTGTAGCCTCTGCCTCCCAGGTTCAAGTGATTCTCCTGCCTCAGCCTCCCGAGTAGCTAGGATTACAGGCGCCTGCCACTACACCTGGCTAATTTTTGTATTTTTTAGTAGAGACGGGGTTTCACCATGTTGACCAGGCTGATCTCAAACTCCTGACCTCAGGTGATCCGCCCACCTTGGCCTCCCAAAGTACTGGGATTACAGGTGTGAGCCACTGCACCCAGCTGGAATATGCCTTTTAATCTTAAACTGCACCACAGACTCATCCTCCCCTGCATCCTTCAAATTAATATGATAGTTGTTCTCAATCTTGTCTCCTTCCTTTGTCTTTCTGTCAACCAGAGTCTTCTTAGCTGCCTCTATTTGAGAGTAACCATTTGAACCTTAATGTTACTGTTCATGTACTGTCTGATGCATCAACCTTCCCCGCCAGTGGTGTAGTTACGAGGACCACAGTGAGGATAAGCAAGGGTGCTCAGCAGATAGAAGGTGTAGTCAGCACACACTTTTCTTTTGGAGAACTGCGGGAACCTGACCCCAGCTATAACTTGCCATAAATTAACTGGTGAGCAGCTATGGATATTATCTGTGTTTCTTGGACAGAGCACATGTGGGGCCAGAATGGATCTCACCAGTGAGTGGCTGATTTAGGGATAACATAGTTGTCAGTCTGGTGGTAACATGATCATTACCTGATGAATATTTAAGATTTACTTGGGGCCGGGTGTGGTGGCTCATGCCTGTAATACCAGCTTTTTGAGAGACCAAGGCTAGCAGATCACCTGAGGTCAGGAGTTCAAGACTACCCTGACCAACATGGAGAAACCCTGTCTCTACTAAAAATACAAAATTAGCCGAGTGTGGTGGTGCAGTAGCCTGTAATCCCATCTACTCGGGAGCTGAGGCAGGAGAATTGCTTGAACCCAGGAGGCAGCGGTTGTGGTGAGCCAAGGTTGCGCCATTGCACTCCAGCCTGGGCAACAAGAGCAAAACTCTGTCTCAAAAAAAAAAAAAAAGATTTACTTGGTCCTTCAGACCTTTTCATCTAAAAATGAAACTCTCATGTGTTCCATTATTTTTGTGTATGTTCAATACATATATGTTCCATTCATCCTTTTTTTATTATACTTTAAGTTCCGGGGTGCATGTGCAGAACGTGCAGGTTTGTTACATAGTTATACAGGTGCCGTGGTGATTTGCTGCATCCATCACCCCATCATCTACATTAGGTGTTTCTCCTAATGCTATCCCCCTCCGGCCCTCCACGCTCCAACAGGCCGTGGTGTGTGATGTTCCCCTCTCTGTGTCTGTGTTCTCATTGTTCAACTCTCACTTAAGAGTGAGAACATGTGGTGTTTGGTTTTCTGTTCTTGTGTCAGTTTGCTGAGAATGATGCTTTCCAGCTTTATCCATGACCCTGCAAAGAATGTGACCTCATCCTTTTTTATGTCTGCAAATTATTTCATGGTGTATATGTGACACATTTTCTTTATCCAGTCTATCATCGATGGGCATTTGGGTTGTTTCCACATCTTTGCTATTGTAAACAGTGCCTCAGTGAACATACATGTGCATGTGTCTTTATAATAGAATGATGTATAATCCTTTGGGTATATACCCAGTAATGAGATTGCTGGGTCAAATCGAATTTCTATTTCTAGGTCCTTGAGGAATCGCCACACTGTCTTCCACAATGGTTGAACTAATTTACATTCCCAACAGTGTAAAAGTGTTCCTATTTCTTCACATCCTCTCCAGCATCTGTTGTCTCTTGATTTTAATGATCACCACTTTAACTGGTGGGGGATGGTATCTCTTTATGATTTTGATTTGCATTTCTCTAATGACCAGTGATGATGTTTTTTTTCATATATTTGTTGGCTGCATAAATGTCTCCTTATGAGAAGTGTCTATTCATATCCCTAGCCCAATTTTTGATGGGGTTATTTTTTTCTTGTAAATTTGTTTAAGTTATTTGTAGATTCTGGATATTAGCCCTTTGTCAGATGCATAGATTGTAAAAATTCTCTCCCATTCTGTAGGTTTCCTGTTCACTCTAATGATAGTTTCTTTTGCTGTGCAGAAGCTCTTTAGTTTAATTAAATCCCATTTGTCTAGCCAACAGCTGACATCAACCTCCAGATGTGTGAATGAATGAGCCTTCAGAGGAATCCACCTCCTAGCTGTCATACCTTCCAATTGAAACCCCCAGACATTATGGAGCAGGAAAAACACCATCCTGTGTTCTGTCCAAATTCCTAACCCACAGAATCCATGAGCATAACAAATGGTTGTTTTAAGCCACCAATTTTGGGATAATTTGTTGTGCAGCCATAGTAACTGGTCCAACATCCATTCGACTTAGATTTGTGTGGTGATCACCTAAGAAGACAAGCTAGTCTTTTCTATAGAAAATATGTAATTTCAAGCTACTGCTGTCTTATATGTATGTCATTCACTGAAAAAAAATCCTAATTTCTCAAACTCGATGTCTCAACCCCCTCCTCTTTTTTTTTTTTGAGACAGAATTTCAACTCGGTCACCCAGGCTGGAGTGCAGTGGCATCATCTCAGCTCACTGCAGTCTCTGCCTCCGGGGTTCAAGGGGTTCTCCTGCCTCAGCTTCCTCTCCTAAGTAGCTGAAACTACAGGCATGCTCCACCTTGTACAGCTAATTTTTGTATTTTTGTAGAGGTGGTGTTTTACCATGTTGGCCAGGCTGGTCTCAAATTCCTGACCTCAAGGATTTGCCTGCC